GACACAAAAATTGGGGTTTTTGAAAATGGAAAGAAGATTTCGAATCAGCGTCTCAAGACGCCAGCGTACGCGCTATATCTTTATGCGCGTGAGCGTACGCTGCGTACATCACGTACGCCGCTAGGGAGCCTCCGACAGCGCCGAATACTGCCTTTGTGCCGCTTTTGGAGCCGAAGCGCGCTGAGTGAGGTTTTGTCTGTGGGGCGCAGGAGGGACTTATTCACACTAGTGGGGTACATGCAATGTTCTTTTTGAATTCCTTTTTTCGTCCTGAAGGTTCTTTTCTTTCGTTGCACGTGTGATTTATTAGATGGCTTTGAGTCTTTCGCTGTTTCAGGATGCTGAAGTAATCAGATTATTCAGGGGAAGTTTTCATTTGTTATGCAACTGAGCTAATCCTTTATGCCAAAGTGAGCGAACTAGTGTCAAACTGACTTTTATCTTTGGTTTTTATTTTCAGAATTTTTTTGTGCCAGTTAACTTTCGTCAAAGGACAAGGTCTTTTTGAATCTACCTTTGGCTATGAAGGTGTTCTGTTGTCCGTATTGACCTATATCTTCGCAATTTTTCGACTCAGCTTTCGCTTTGGCGATACTGCTGTGCTAGGTGAGCTGTTGGATTGCGAGCCAATATCATTTTGACATCTTTAATCACCTCAAGGCTGGTGCACTACGCTGGGAGAAACGATTTGAAACATTCACTTTGTACTTTCTCTGTTTTGGTGATTGTTCCATTATGCTTCACATGCCACATCTTTTGGAACGAGACATCGATGACATCGAGACACCTTGCCTGCAGTCATTTTACTACGGCAAATGGACACTTACTTGCGAAGGAGTCTTTTTCATGTCTTTTCATTTTGGCGTAACTATTAACATTCCACAATGTTATCTTCAGCACGTTTGGAACAGCTTTGAAAACAGCGAACAAGGACCAATCTTCCGCAAAGATATGGAACGTCCAGCAATAGTAGACGAACTTCAAGGAAAGGCATCATAAAAAAACAGCTTCGCAATCATAGCGTTTACTCAGCTTAACGATAATTTTGAGTTAAAAGCTGGATTGATAAAGAGAAACAAAGAAGTAGCTCAATTTAGAAATTAGAGTGGCTAAAACGGAAAGATGCAAATGCGAAAATCTTCGTTATCCAAGGAAATCGATCAAGTCGCACAAACGAGTAACCCGAAAATAAAAGCAAAATAATAAGAACTCGTTTAGTAATTATTCGTTCAATTTGACATTGACGAATAGCTCCATAGCGGGAAGTAGTTAAAAAAA